TTGAGGAAATCTATTCCTACAAGGAAGGCTTTTATGTGTCTGGTCGTAAGCGGGTGTCCTTACCTGTTATAACTTGAATACAGACCTACCCAGTATGAATGGAATTAGGCATTCATACCTTTAGGAATCAAATGTAAATAACTTCCTTTGAACTAAAAATTTTGTTGACTCTTTGAGTCTCCCTTGTGAAACCTAGCTCCCAAATTGGATACATTTCATATTGAATTTAATGAATCCTGTAAACAAACTGATCATGAAAAAAGAGAATTTGATTCTGAAGTTCAGAGTAGGTTGGTTAAAAAGCTCTTACTCATTTTAGGGATGGAAGTGTGAAATAGTTAACATTTTTACTCTGTCTTGTCTTTTCCTTGACTAGGCTAAAGTGAACAACTCCAGCCTGATAGGTTTAGGATACACTCAGACCCTAAAGCCAGGTATGTGTTGGTTGTGAAAATTAATGAAATTAGTTCTTTGTTTTTAAAAACTGTGGAGCTGGTTTGCTGCTTTATGATATTTCGTGTAACATGGCACAATGTAAATGAGCATATATAAAGTTTTATAATTAGATGTGTATACAGGAGTGCAGAGTCATTATAAAACATTTGGAAATGAGAGAAGTAGTAAGTAGAAAAAAAGGCTGAGGCTAACATACTACATTTTTGGTTATTTTCCATCTTTTTTTTTTCCACTGTGCACCTAATGCTTGATAATGTATTTCCAGCACATTCTTACTACAAGCTCATAAGTCATCCCCATTGTAAAACTGGTTTGCAGGTTTTCCCTGCACAGTTGGCTAGGCCAGTCCACAGTGTGTTAGAGCTACAGGAGGTAATACCACCTTGGGATTAGTCTGGTCAAGTTGGGTATCTGAACCCTGGCAATCTAAAATCTTGATGGCAGAATCAAGTTATTCTAGGGAAAACATTAGTTAGTTGTGTCTGTGTGTGTGCATGCTGGGAATGCCAGTATAAGACCTTGGAGTCTGATTCATGGTTGGAATTTCATTTCAAGGTGGTATTGCTAAAGAACTTCCTGCATGGTGCCAAAGGTAGAGAGATTAATTGTAGCAGGGGACAAAGAGAGGAAAAAGGAAAGTAAGTCCCTCAAGTGGATTTGGGTAAGCTGTGGAATAATTATTGTTTTATAAGCTCATTCTAGGCTACCTGTTAATTAGTCAAATGGTGTTAAGTCACAGGAATTGAAGGGCCATGTGGTTGTGCCCCTGCTAGTCACACACAGCTTGAACAGGTCCTGAATGTGGTGTGGTCTTGCCACTGTGCTTGAGCGCTCCTCAGTGTGTTGCTCTGTCTTCTCTCCTCTTCCCTCCATCCCTCTCCCTTTGCTCTCTCTGATTTTTCCCCTTGCAGGTATCAAACTGACGCTATCAGCTCTGCTGGATGGCAAGAATGTCAATGCTGGTGGCCACAAGCTTGGTCTAGGACTGGAATTTCAAGCGTAAACGAATATTGTACAATCGTTTAATTTTAAACACTTTTGCAGCAGAGCTACCTTCAGATTTAGTGTACCTTTCAATGTTGTACGTCTGGAACGCAAGTATTGCTAAATATGTTAGACTTCCAGGTTAAAGATGATTCAGCTTTAAGGTGTTACCCTTTCAGAGGTACAGAAGAAACCCAATTCCAAAATCGGCCCTTTCAGCTGTGGACTTGGGGGGAACTTGGTGGCCCCTCTAGAGATGTCAGGTTTCTTTTTTAATTTAGAAATGGCTGCAAGTGGAAGCTGGTAATTTGTAGGCACTTTGTAAATTTATATTTAGTAAATGAATGAAATTGTGACTTACTGAGAATTGAATCTTGGTATCATACCCTGAGGTCACTGATGGTGTGTATAAACTCTTCTGAAAGGGGCTTTTTTAGACAGATCTTCATGACCTGATTCTACCCCAGTCTATCAGCTCTTTTACATCAAAAGTAGTCTGCAGGGCATGGTAGCTGTATCTTTTGTGCCATTTTGGGGTGGAGAAGGTGGATGTGATAAAGCCAATAATTCAGGACCTAATTCCCTTTCATGTGATTTTTTGCTCTTGCACCAGAGTATGAAATAGCTTCTAAGAGCTCCAGCTGCAAGCTGGGAAGCCTCCGTGACTGTAATCACATGGTGACAAAACTCGGAATCTAAATTGGACTTCTGTTATATTTTCACCAGTCTGTTTATTTTTTAGCAGTTTAATGGGTACATTTTAGAGTCTTCCATTTTGTGTGGAATTAGATCCTCCCTTTCAAATGCTGTAATTAACATCACTTAAAATAAAACTTGAATAAAATATTGAAACTTCATCCTTTTGTGTTTACTTATAAAAGTCTAAATAAATGGCATTTGTTTGGGCAGGATGTGTGTGTGTGCGTGTGATATTTTTGGTTTTCTGTTGCTGCGTAACAATTCCCACAATTTATTGACCTAAAACAGCGCTCATTTATTTAGTTCACAGCTCTATAGGTCCGAAGTCCAGGCCTAGCATGGCTGGGCTTTCTATTAAGATATCTCAAAATGCTGAAGTTAGGATGTTAGCCAGACTTCTCATCTGGAGCCTGGGGGGCCTCTCCCAGACTCACATAGTTGTGGCAGAATTTAATTCCTTGTAGGATAATGGTCCCTGTTTCCTTGCTAGCCGTTAACTAGTGGCTGCTCTCGGCAAATAGAGGCCACCTGCATTCCTTACCATGTGGCCTCTTTTGTCTTCAAAGCTAGAACAGAAAAACTCATTTTCAAACCCTTTTCACATACTTCACATCTCCTCCAGGAAGAGCCTTAACCAGCCTTAACCCCTTTTTAAAAGTTATTTTTATTTATTGAGGTACAATTGGCATATAACATTATATTAGCTTCAAGTGTACAATGTAATTCCATGTTTATCTGTTTTGGAATGATCATTAAGTCTAACATGTCATGATACATAGTCACAGTTCTTTTATTGTGATGAGAAATTTTAAGATCTGATCTCTTAGCAACTTTCAAATATACAACACAGATTAGTTAGAGTCACCATGATGTACATTGTATCCTCATAATTTATAACTGCTTCAACCCTTTTAAATGATTCAACTGATCAGGTCAGGCCCACTGAGGTAAACTTCTTAAAGTTAACTACCATATAACATAACCTAATCACAGGAGTGATAACCTATTCACAGTTCCCTCCCATACTCAAGGGCAGGGTACCTTACAAAGGCTTGGGTCATTGGGGGTCATTTTAGAATTCTGCCATATACACTTTAAAACATAATTGTGGAAATTACATAAAGTAGAATAGTAATAAACTCTACATATAGATTATCCAACTTCAGCAAATACAAAACTTTTTTCTATTCAATGATGTATATGTTTTTACACAGAATTCCTTTATGAATGTTTGACAGTTCCAAACAGGTACCAGATTTACTTTTAGTATTTTGTGTAATTGATCACTCCAAACCTTGTGGCCTCAGCATTTGCCATATTGTCTTCATCAGTTTCATAAGGACATGCAACTATTTCAAAGTGAACTTTGTTGACTTAGTCTAGGGATTTTGACACATAATGGTTGTTGGGTACATCCCATCAGATGCCAGGTGCAGTAGTGGTATTTTGAGCTGTACAAAGGGCCCTCTTGAGTATAAGGGAGCATTTCCATCTCTATTTACATATTAAGTATCTGCCCATTGTGTGCAGCATGTTGTAATATTGTGCAAAATACCCTGAGTTCATATGTCAACAATAAGAGAACAGTCTGTTATGGGAACAAAGGAACAAAATGGCCAAAGAAGAGAGGACTGAAGGTGTGTTTATTACACAGAAGGCCCTGTTTAACTGAATTTTCCAACAAGCAGAAGCTAGAATTGAGAAGCTTATTCATTAAACTGAGTTGGGGTTTCTGTACAGAAGGGAAAGTGCCAGGGGAACTTGGAAAGACTGTACCTTAGCTACCCTGGAAGGTTTGCACTAAGGGCACCATTCAGTCTATCAGGGCTTGTGGTGGGCTTTGGGAAATGAACAGATGAATGACCTCTTAGTTTTCTTTAACAACACAGTTTGTGTGTTGGAGCTGTCACAGGGGCCAGTTAAATGTTAAAAGAAACCAGATTCAGGAGAATACAGGCCCTTCTCTTCAGAGAGGCAGCTCAGCTGTGTCTCGGGGAGAGCAGCAGCCTTCTGAAGAAATCAGGGAGACAAGAGGTGAAGCTATGGGTGAAATGTCTTGCTTCATGCCACGCTCGTTTCCCTATAATTCAATCAAGCGAAACCTTTATGATTTGAAGCTTGTAGACATTTACTAACAAAATATTCACAGAACAGACCAAAGCATTGTGCCAGGGCAGTAAGGGAATTTCCTGGAAGTTTCTAAATTTGCATTTTCATAATGGGAATTTTAAGTTACAAAATACAAAAAATAATAGAACTTAAAATTTGTAGGAAGTGTAGAAGCTGCATCCCTACTTGGTCACGTCCTTGCTTGTCCTCCGTAATACCTTTACTATTGTGTAGAGTGTATTTTACACTATAGTCTCCCGCACAAGAAAACACAAAAGTAGGGAGTTTGTTTTGTTCTGAAATATTAAGTATTTCCATACTGAAATATGGGAAGGTCCCCACTATCTGAAGTTATAAATAAGTATGGGGAATGATAAAAAATAAAACATTTACCTATAATTCCACCACCTAAGGGCCAGTGTTAACATTTGTGTTCCCTTCCTCTTTGGGAACGGGAGGACAGTTACCCTTCGGTATCAGTCTATTACACAGTTGGATTCTCCTCTTGAAAATGTCTTAAAACATTTTTAACTGTACAGTATCCCATTATGTGGGAGCAGGGAGGTGCGTGTTCTCATCCTCTCCACACCTTACACATGACACGCTTCACCCGCAGAGAAGTTTGGCCAGCGGATTTCACTTCGCTGTAACTTCCAATATGCTTTCGCCCGGGTTCCAAGAGTCCCGCGCCAGGCGATGACGTTATCACGCCGGGACGTAGACGCCGAGGGCCGTGCTGCCTTACGCAGTGCCTGACGTCATGGCGTAGAACCTAGCAACAGTGCAGGCTCCCGGCCGAGTCCGTTATGGCCGCTGCCACCCTGAGGAGGATGAGGCAGGTCGCGCAAGCGAAGCTGCCGTTCCGGCCAGGCGTCCAGGTGCCCGGGGAGTCGGCGCGGCCGCTGGTCCTGGCGCTGCTGTTTGCGTCCGCCACCATGTCCAGCGGTAAAGGAGGCGCGGCGGCAGGAAGGGCGTGGGAAGACTCGGAGGGCTCGGGCGCGGGCGAAGAGACTGGCCGGGTCAGGGCAAGGGCGCTTCCGAGGGTCTGAGCAGATGGCGTTGCACGGCCCGAGGTGGAAGAGTGCGCTGTCTGAAGGGGTCTCCTAAGGCGTCTGAGAAGTGGGGTTGAGAGATGCAGGGACCTGAAGAGCAGGAAGCAGAGTGTAGATGGGCGGGGCGGGGAGGCGGAAGTGGTGCTGTCTGGAGAGAATGGGTTGCTACCGGGAATGGCGGTGGTGGGGTGTCTGAAATTCCTTGGAGCTTTTAGTTAGGAGAGTCTAGAAGAGGGGGCGGAGGAGACAGGTGCTGAAGAGATGGCCGTGGTTAGGAGGTGTGGTGTCTAGAGACAGACCAGGGTGGGCAGGGGCAGTGACCGGACTCAGCTGATGGAGTATTTCCTAGGGCGAATGTGAAGGGGAAGGAGCATCGGGTATGGGGCATCTCAGGTCTGGGAGGTTTTGATGCTTCGTAAAGAGCCAGAATACAGGGGCGGCAGGCTCTTGAGGGGATTGGGAGAGGAAAGTTGTTCTTGGAAAAAGGAGATTCTTTATAAATGTGGTCCCCTTTCCCTTTCCCTGTGTCCTAGGTTAATTGGACAACCCTGCTTCTCTTTAATGAATTGTAGGATTTGATTAAGTATTTCTAACATTTTTTATTTATATTTTTAAACTTTTTTTTATTGAGGCGTAATTGACATATAGCATTACATTAGATTCAGGCGTACAAAATAATGATTTGATACTTGTATACACTACAAACTGATCACAGTAAGTCTGGTTACCATCTGTCATTAAACAGTTACAAATTTTTTTTCTTGTAATGAAAGCCCTTAAGAATTAACTCAGTGATTTTCAAATATACAATACAGATTTATTAACTATAGTCACTATGCTGTACATTACATCCCCATAACTTATTTTATAACTGGATGTTTGTACCTCCTTTTACCCTTCACCCCCCTCCCCTATTAATCTCTATATCTGTGAATTTGTCTTGTTGACTTTTGTTTTACTTTGAATTTTTTTTTCTTTTTGGATTGCAAATGAAAGTGAAATTATACAGTATTTGTCTTTCTCTGTCTTATTTCACTTAGCACAATGCCCTCAAGGTCCATCCATAATGGCAGGATTCCATTATTTTTAATGGCTGAATAGTAGTCTATTTTATATAATATCACAGCCATTTGTTTTATTAAAGTGTCATTGATATACAGTGTTATGAAGGTTTCACATGAACGTTGTAGTTTCAACATTCACCCACATTATCAAGTCCTCACCACCAACCCTCCCCCCACCCCCACCCCCTGTTGCAGTCACTGTCTATGAGCATAGTAAGATGCTATAGGGTCATTACTTTCTTCTCTGTAGTATCACAGCTTTTTTATTCATTCATCCGTCGATAGACATTTAGGTTGTTTCCATATCTTGGCTATTATAAATTACGCTGTATAATTAAATATTTCTTTTCTTAGAAATGTTACATTGTGAATCAAAATGTTGAAAGCTTTATTGAGAAATGGTGAAATCTGTAAACCAGGGCCTAACATTTAGGGGGAACAAGTCCATTAATAAGAATTTACAATGATTACAGAGTATGTTATTTAGTCATCCCTTTTTCTTTCAGGCTGAGACTTAATCCTGCCTTTTTTCCTACGTCTTTCTTGAGTTTTCAGATGTAAACAGTGTGAATGGAATAGTGTTCTTTTGCCTTCCAAGAGTGGCTGTCCAGCCACACATTTCTCTACCACAGTGCCGGTTCCTTACTTAGGTGTTCTCGGCAGCACTGAGGGCAGGGCAACCGGACCACCCTCCTACCGTCCCAGAAGTGTCTGTAATTCTGTGGAGGAAGTAATGCGTCCATTTTCCCAATTCCCTTCCATTTTAGTAAAATATAATGGGGATTTCCCTGGTTGATGCTGATAATCCTGTTCCTGGAGTATGAAAGTAGCATCGCTGTTTTGTTCATTTAATTATCTAAGAAGAAACTGACATTAAAACATTTATATTTCTCATTGAAATGCTTACCACGTATGGTTGGGGGCCTATATAGCTGATAACTGTAGTTTCAGAAAGAACTTTTCCCCCTAAGAGATGGTTGAAAATCTTGTGATGAGAGTAAGCGAGGGAGAGAGGGGGGTATTAAGGGGCCCTCTTGTCTCTATTTTCATTTGTTAAAACCCCATAAATATTGCTCCAACTATTCTGGGATATTTCAGGGAATCTTTTTCTTTTTTATTCAGTCTTTATATCAATTGTAAGTTCTAATTATTCCTTACTGAAAATGACAAATGTAAACAAACATGTATGTTTTTAATAGGGAAACAACTCTATTGCAGTATAGTGTAGCATTTGTAAAGATTTGGGTAATAAAATTTTTTGTAAGTGTACCTTATGGTGGAATGATTTCAATGTACTTACTCTTGTAATAAGAAAATTATAGTCTAAATAGAACGTGTTGAGTTCCAAACTTCAGTTAAGCATAGAAAGTTAAAAAGTAACCACATAGATTTGTTTAAACTTGTTCCATATTATGTTTCTTAGTATTTTAGTGCTTGGATATATTCTTGGCTACCTGTTATGAAGGTTTCACATGAACGTTGTAGTTTCAACATTCACCCACATTATTTTTTAGTTTTTTTTAGTTTTTTGTTTTTGTTTTGATGAAATCTAAACAAAACTAATGTAAACATTATTTTGGATCACTGGATGAGTCTTGCTATGCCATTTAAAAAATGTGTACTTTCTGTGTTGACATTATATTGCTCCCAAATGATCACCTAAATTTTTTATTTTTATTCATTTTATTAAGGTACATCGATATACAATCATATGAAGGTTTCACATAAGGAACATTGTGGTTATTACATTCACCCATATTATTGAGTCCCCCCCACGCCCCACCACAGTCACTGTCCATCAGTGTAGCAAGATCCCACAGAGTCACTACTTGTCTTTTCTGTGCTATACTGCCTTCCCCGTCACCCCACCACACACCATGTGTGCCAATCATAATGCCCCTCAATCTCCTGCTCCCTCCCCCCCGACCCACCCTCCCTGACCCATCCTCTTTTGTAACTGCTAGTCCCTTCTTGGGGTGAGTCTATGACTCTGCTGCTGTTTTGTTACTTCAGTTTTGCTTTGTTACACTCCACAAATGAGTGAAATTATTTTGTACTTGTCTTTCTCCACCTGGCTTATTTTACTGAACATAATACCTCCTAGCTCCATCCATGTTATTGCAAATGGTAGGATCTGTTTTCTTGTTATGGCTGAATAATATTCCATTGTGTATATGTACCACATCCTCTTTATCCGTTCATCTACTGATGGACACTTAGGTTGTTTCCATATCTTGGCTATTGTAAATAGTGCTGTGATAAATATAGGGGTGCATATGTTTTTTGAATCTGGAATCTTGTTTTCTTTGGGTAAATTACTAGGAATGGAATTCCTGGGTCAAATGGTATTTCTATTTTTAGTTTTTTGAGGAGCTTCCATATTGCTTTCCATAATGGTTGAACTAATTTACATTCCCACCAACAGTGTAGGAGGGTTCCCCTTTCTCCACATCCTCACCAGCATTTATTGTTTCTTGTCTTTTGGATGTTGACCATCCTAACTGGTGTGAGGTGATATCTCACTGTGGTTTTAATTTGCATTTCTCTGATATTAGGCATGTGGAGCATCTTTTCATGTGCCTGTTGGCCGTTTGAATTCTTTGGAGAAGTGTCTGTTCGTATCCTCTGTCCATTTTTTAATCGGGTTATTTGCTTTTTGAGGCATGTGAGTTTTTTATATATTTTGGATGTTAACCCCTTTTCTGATATGTTGTTTATGAATATATTCTCCCATACTGTAGGATGCCTTTTTGTTCCACTGATGGTTTCCTTTGGTATATCGAAGCTTTTTAGTTTGATGTAGTCCCATTTGTTCATTTTTGCCTTTGTTTCCCTTGCCCTTGATAGCCTCATAGAATGAGTTTGGAAGTATTCCCTATTCTTCTACTTTTTGGAAAACTTTAAGGAGGATGGATATTATGTCTTCTTTAAATGTTTGATAAAATTCAGCAATGAAGCCATCTGGTATAGGGATTTTGTTCTTAGGTAGTTTTTTGATTACCAATTCAATTTCATTGTTGGTAATCGATCTGTTCATATTTTCTGTTTCTTCCTGGGTCAGTCTTGGAAGGTTGTATTTTTCTAGAAAGCTGTCCATTTCTTCTAGATTATCCAGTTTGTTAGTATATAATTTTTCATAGTATTCTCTATAATTTTTTGTGTTTCTCTGGTGTCCATAGTGATTTTTTATTTCTCATTTCTGATTCTATTTGTGTGTGTAGACTCTCTTTTTTACTTGATAAATCTGGCTAGGGGTTTATCTATTTTGTTTATTTTCTTGAAGAACCAGCTCCTGGCTTCATTGATTCTTTGTATTGTTTTATTCTTCTTGATTTTTTATATTTCTGCTCTGATCTTTATTATGTCCCTCCTTATACTGACTCTGGGCCTCCTTTGTTCTTCTTGCTCTAGTCTCATTAATTGTGAGTTTAGACTGTTCATTTGGGATTGTTCTTCTTTCCTGAGGTTGGCCTATATTGTAATACACTACCCTTTGCTGTGCCTTTGTTGGCCTATATTGTAATACACTACCCTTTGCACAGCCTTTGCTGTGTCCCACAGATTTTGCAGTGTTGAGTTACTCTTTTCATTTGTCTCCATATATTGCTTGATCTCTGTTTTTATTTGGTCATTGATCCATTGGTTATTTAGGAGCATGTTGTTGAGCCTCCATGTGTTTGTGGGCTTTTTTGTTTTCTTTGCATAATTTCTTTCTTTCATACCTTTGTGGTCTGAGAAGCTGGTTGGTACAATTTCAATCCTTCTGAATGTACTGAGGCTCATTTTGTTGCCTAGTATATGATCTATTCTTGAAAATGTTCCATGTGTA